GCCTTGAAGCTTACTGCAAGTGATACAGTGTATTTCCTCTACATTGTTTCAAACTTGGTTGACATTTAGTACAGACAGTGAACAGATTTCAACCTTCCACTACTTTGCAATGGCATAATTCAACATGACTGCAGTGAGGAAAACGCTTGCTGGTCATGTGTACCTGTATGTTCTGTACTAGTACACCTTTTATCTTTTGGGATCCATGTTTTATTAAAAAAAGTACACCTTTTATCTTTTGGGATCCATGTTTTATTAAAAAAAATGTTAATAGTAGATAATTTTAGACAATAAAGGTTGGAATACTGCTTTTCAGTGTTTGTTTACATTATATTAACCCTCTATTTAAGAGTGTGATGGAAAACTTTGAAAGAAGCTCTACATCCCCGATGTCTTCGATTTTCACTCCGCCTACAAAATCTGCTGGCACACCAATACAACCTGCGAATAATACTGCAAGGATTTCTACAATGAGACCTCTTGCAACAGCATATAAGGCTTCCACTAGTGACTATCAGGTATTTTGAGGGAAACAGAAACATGTTTTTGTGTTGTCTTCCCTTAGCTCTTTGAGGCTGTACAGACATTAACTTCAATGTGACCTTACCTTTTGCTGTCAGTTCTTTAACAATGTGGTTCAAGTACAAGCTCAGTCTGTTCAGTCTCTAAAATAATAATAAAAAGTACTAAGTTAATGACTTTTCACTTTTCCAGAAATTAAGGGCTTGTTTTGAAAATATTTCAAACATATTTTGTCAAAATATAATAGCACTTAGGAAAAAATAAGTAAATGGTTGGTGTAACTACATGTTAACTGATTCTCTGTGTTTTCTCTTTTTGTTTTTCTCCCTGCCTTCTAGGTGGTTTCTGACAGACAAACTCCAAGGAAAGATGAAAGTATCGTATCTAAAGCAATGGAATATGTTTTTGGCTGGTAATACACAAGAGGGAGTAACACACTAAGCTGGTCAGGGTTTGAACTATACTACTGGCACTTGTAGTTAGTTGTATAACTACTGGTGGCAGTATTTTATCTTACAGAGCACCTGTTATGCCTTCAGTTTATTCAGAAGACATGTAGCTTGCACTTTAAATGATGGCAGTGTACACATGGTTTTACAAACTGAGTAAGTGTAAATAAAAGTGCTTTTTCCCCATTTCTGCTCTGATGGCATGATTGTGAAAAAATGTCAGCACTGACTTTTCTTCTGTAATTGCTTTCTGTGAATTACAGAGCACAAGTAAGTTGGAAATGCTTAAATTGGCAGCTAAATTTACTGATGTCTTTAATTTTTTCCCCCTCTGGAAAGGTGATTGGTGACTTGCAGGAGGAACACTATGCAGAGCTATCTACCAGGGACAGGGCATGTTATTAGTATGTGTGAATTATTTAAAATTGAGATTTGTTGCTGTTTTACAATCACCTCTGGCATACTATTCTAAATGTCATAGCAACCTTTTAACTCTTTGTTTCATTAATAAAAATTAAGTTTCTTTTCTTAGATTTTTTTTTAAACAAGTATGAGTTCTGTTAGGAAAAACTATTAGCAGTACTCTTAACTGATAAATATGTTGTTGCCTAAGTTTATTGAAGTGTTATTGGCAGAGCTAATGGTGCTGCTAATTTTACTAAAGTAGGGTTCAAACCATTTACCAACCAGGATTCAACCTATAAGGATATTTTATACCATTGTGCACTTAACAGGTAACAAACT